GAACTGCAGTCAGCTGAAGTAGCCTGCAGTGCTGCATTTAACCACTGCGCCACCTCGGCTTGGAGTCCACCCCTCTGAACGTGTCCCAGGTTGAGAAATACAGGTAATCCCTCGGCCTTACGAGCACAATTGAACCTCCAATTTCCTGTTGCTAAGTGAAACATTAGTTTTGCCCCATTTTACGACACCACAGTTCTCGAATCCCTCCCTCCGATTATTCAGTTAGTGACGTGTTCGTTAAGTGAATCTGGCTTCCCTTTTGACTTTGCAGCTCAGAAGTTCGCAAAAGGGGGGGGGATCCCGTAACGCCGACACACTGCGGCCGTCATAAAGATGAGTCAGTTGCCAAGCGTCTAAATTTTGATCAAAGATGCTGCAACAGTCTCAGTCTGAAAAACAAAGCCCCTTTTTTTCAGTGACGTTGTCATTTCGAACGGTCACTAAATGAACTGTCGTAAGTCGAGGACTGCCCGTACGGCTTTAAAGCTTCAGTAGTTGCAACCATCTCTCTGAATTGAATCCCAGTTTGGAGGTAGTAATTTCCCCCAGATTTCTGCATACTCGCAAACCCTTCAAAACCGGCTCAAAAATTTACACTTCCGGAACTTTCCTTTCGTGGTCATTGGAACCGCAATCTGGATTAGGGGATTCAGCCGGTTCACACCGGTTCGGACGAACTGGTCGTTGCATGGACTGGCTGGCCCCGCCCACCCCTCCCAGGAGTCTCCACACGCCGTATTCAGTCTGGAAACAGGCCCGTTTCTGGCCTCGAGCGGCCTCCGGAGCCTGGGGGAGACTGTTTTCGCCCTCCCGGAAACTCAAGGAAAGCATCCGGAGTGTGGAGAGGGCGAAAATGCTCCCCTCCATGATGCAGGAGGCTGAGTTGGCTCCGCCCATCCAGCAACTGGGCAGAGAACCGCTTGTTAACATTTTTCAATCCCATCCCTGGTTAGGATACAAAAATGGTCGTGGCCGGAGTGAGTGACCCTCCTTTCTTTTACCTCCCGCAGAGGGCATGCTGGTCATCCAAAAGATTGATTTAATGAGCGGCCGTACGGGCAGCAACCGGCGCGCCCACCACACCGACGAATACGAGTACGACAACCTCATCATCCGCCGCGGGCAGCCCTTCGAGATGAAGCTTCATTTCCAGCAGCCGTACGATTCCGAGGACCACCGGGTCTGCCTCGAGTTCCTGGTCGGTAAGTTTGGAGGGGGGGGTGAATAAGGGTTCTTCTTACGTCGAGTTTCTCTTCCTCATGACATCCCCCCCCCCCCGGGAAGTTTGGGGGAGGACCGAAATCGTCGAGGTCGGAGGTTGGCAAATGTCGAAGTTGGCCGGGAGAGATGGTTCAGGGTGGCATTTGGGCGGCGTTAAGGATCTGGTGGGGGATGAGCCAGCGGGCACCGCGCACGTGATCTATTTTGGAGATCCTTTTGAAGCCTTGGGAGGGGGACCCGGTTGATGGTGAATTTGGCAAGGGCAACCTTTTATTGGCTGACGACTATACTTGACGCCTTGGGGGTGGGAAAGAGTGTCGTTTCCTTCTTTCCTTCCTCCCTCTCTTTGAGTCTGTCGGAAGGAACGTCCACCTGGGTTCAGCTCCAAGCGGGGGAAAAGACACCGGAAACATGGAGGCTGCTTGGAAAGATGGTTTAATGGTGGACAGGACCACATGGCTTGAGCTCCTGGGACCAAAAAGGGAAGAGATGCGAAGTGTGCCCTGGTTTTATGCCCACTCCGGGCTTTTGAATTTGAGCTTGTGTTCTGATTGGTTGTCCGACTCCCACGGGGCTATGTAGGGGTCACTTTGTAGATTGTCTGTCTCCCAGGCTTGGTTGACTCTTGCTGGGTGATTGTGTCATGAAAAGGTTTTGGGCAATTCCTCCTATGGCTCTGCCTGAAGATCGATCTTTGTTATGTAGAATACACTGGCTCAGACCTTAATGGCCCATTGACGATGTGGGGGGGGTGTTGAGTGAGTTTCTGCCTCCCTTTTAGGGGGGGAAATATTCTGATCGTTTTAATATTTCCTATAATATTTCATTTTCCTAGGAGAGGGATGGGTGCTAACTTCCTACAGCTTCTTCCTTCCCTTCCTCTCCTCCTTTTCTTCCTTTCTTCCTTCTCTTCCCTCCCTCCTTCCCTCCGTCCTTTCTTCTTTCCCTCCCTCCTCCTGCCTCTCATTCCCTCCCTCCTTCCTTCCTTCCCTCTCTCTCTTCTCCTTTACTCCTCCCTTCTTCCTCCCCCCTTTCTGCTTCCTTCTTTCCCTTCTCTTTATTCCTTTGCTCCTTCCCTCTCTCTGTCCTTTCCTTCCTCCCTTCCTCTCTTTGACTTTTTCCTTCCCTCTCTCCCGTTCTTCCATTTTTTTCCTTCCAGTCCTTTCCCTTCCTCCCTCCCTCTCTCCTTCCTTCCCTCCCTCCTTCCTTCTTTCCCTTTGTCTCTCCTTTCTTCCTTTCCTCCCTTTCCATCCCTTCCCCCCTCCCTTTCTCCTCCCTCCCTCCTCTTTTTCTATCTTCCTTCTTTCTCCTTCCTTCCCTCCCTCTTTTCTATTTCTTCCCTCCCTCTTTTCCTTCCTTCCTCCCCACTTATTTTATAGCTTGCTTCTTCCTCCTTCCTCCCCTCCTTCCTTCTTTCCCTTCTTCTCTCCTTTCTTCCTTTCCTCCCTTTCCATCCTTTCCCCCCTCCATTTCTCCTGCCTCCCTTTCTCCTCCCTCACTCCTCCTTTTCTATCTTCCTTCTTTCTCCTTCCTTCCCTCCCTCTTTCTATTTCTTCCCTCCCTCTTTTCCTTCCTTCCTCCCCCCCTTCTTTTATAGCTTGCTTCTTCCTCCTTCCTCCCCTCCTTCCTTCTTTCCCTTCTTCTCTCCTTTCTTCCTTTCCCTTTCTCCCTCCTTTTTCCCTCCCTCCTTTCTCCTCCCTCCCTCCCTCCCTCCCTTCCCTTCGTAAGGCTGACTAGGGAATTTTGGGAATTGACATCCACATGCCAGAAACTTGGCTCTACAATTTTGACTTTTAAATGCAACCCCTCCGTGCTACATTTTTTCCAGTGGTGGGTTTCAAAAAAATTTCAAACCTACTCTGTGGGTGTGGCCTNTTTTTTATTTTAAGAAAGAGACTCTTTGGTAACCCCTTGGCTCCTTTACAAATTAGATTTCTGCTTGCGGGGAATTGGCGATGGTTTCTACTAACAGAGAGAACTCAAAAGTTGGAAAAGGAAGAGAAAGCTGTGTGTGTTTGCTATAAAAATCTGGTTTATTTTAAGCGAGGGGGGGGACTCCTTGGTGACATGTTGGCTTCCTTACAGATTAGATTTCTACTTGCGAGGAATTGGCCTTGGTATATTACATCGACTGTATCCCCACTATCTACTAAGCCCGGCAGTTTGATACCCCTGCCGTACAGCAAAGGGTCTCTCAACTTGGGGACTTCAACTCCCAGAATTCCTCAGTCAGGCCTAGGGAATTCTGGGAGATGAAGTCCACCCAGAAGAGGGGGAAAAAACCCAGGATATTTAGGGTTATGGAGAAGGAGGCTTAAGCCAGCATGGAAAACAAAGCTGTCGAGCAGATGTTGCTTCAACCCTGAGCAGATGTTGGTTCAACCCCTGATCCGGTTTTTTCCCCCATCCCTTTGATATCGGGACAGCCTAAATTTTATTTATTCCTACCCCAATGTGAAAGTACAGCTTGTTCTTCCTTTTCTCTTCTCCACATCTGTCCACATCTGGCAGACGGCAGAATTGCTGAGTGGGTTTCGGGGAGGGAGGCTGGGAGTTGCCCCCTTGGCCCACTAACCCTCGCTCTCCTTTCCTGGGAAGGCCCAGCGGTCGTTGAGTTAATCAGAGGGCACGGAAAGAGGAAGGCAGACAAGAGCTTGCACAAGACCTTAGGGACTAGAAACTTGGCACGTCGGCCTTGGAGGGAAAGACGGGGTCGAGGCCTAGTCACAAGGCTGGGTGAAGCAGAGTCCCTCCCCCCCCCACCCAACTGTGGCAAAGGGTTTCACATGTTAAGTGGGACGGTCTCGTGATTTCTTGCCTTCGGGCTTGGAAATTCGAATTAAAAAGTACCACAGGAAGCAAATTGTGTTTGCTTCACAATTTCTTCACAAATGTTTGCGGGATGTGTGCGAACGTCGGTGACCACGGATTCTTTCGAACCTGGATCCCCTTGGAATATTTTGCATCCCACGTTTAACGGCCTTTTCCCGGCCGGTGATGCCTTTCAAACCATTTTGGTNCCAGCCAGCAAAGCATTAACATAACGAAGCTACTAAGCCGGCTGGGGAATTCTGGGAGTTGAAGTCCACCGAACGTTGAGTTGCTGAGATAGAAAAACCATCGGCCCAGTTCAACCAGGAACTCCTTCCCAGGCTAACTGGCAGACTCCCTACCCCACCTGGGCACTGCCCATGATGGAGCCCGTCCCTATGGGTGGTGACAAGGTGCCAAGGTGGGGCACAATGGCGGGTGAGTAACTTTCCGGAGCTTCCCAAACATTCCTTCTCCCCACCCCCTCTCATACCTCCCCAGGCAAGTTCTTAGCTTCCTCCCTCGGCTCATTTCAAACCATCCACCAGTCACATTTCCCATGGATTCAGCCAGCCGGTTTGATCTGAGAGAGCTGCTCGGGTGCGGGAGGCCATGGTGCCTCTGAGGATGTGCAGAGTGACGGAGGCGAGGAGGACACTGTGCTTTTCTTGTTCAAAAGGGAGCGATGATTCTCGGGGGGATAATTTTGTTTTATCCCTGTATTTTCTCTCTTTAAAATCTGAGAGTCGGACGAGAAAAAGAGCACCCATTTCGTCCTCGGCTTACGGCCGTGATTGGGGGGTGTCAGGATTTCTGTGGCTAAGCAAGGAGGTTGTTAAGCGAGCCGTGCCCGGTTTTAGAACCTTCCTGCCATGGTTGTTAAGCGAATCCCTGCCCTTGTTAAGTGAAGTTTCCACTGACTGTCGTCGGACGGGTTGTGCCCCATTTTACGACTTTTTCACCCTGGTTGGTAAGCGAATCCCTGAAGTTACTAAGCGGATCGCAGGGTTGTTAAACGAACCCAGCTTTCTCCCATTGACTTTGCTTGTCGGAGGCCGTCTGGGAAGGTTGGAACTGGACCTTCTCTGCTCAATTTTGACCACCTGATCAGGGGGAAATGCTGAGATGGCCGTAAGTGCGAGGACCGGCCATCTGTCACATTTTTCAGCGCTGTAGTCACCTCGAACTGTCGCTAAACGAATGGTTGTGTAAGCCAAGGACTTACGACCCCCATTGAGGCAATATTTCTGCTGCTAAACGAGACGTTATGTGAGGTTTGCCCCATTTTACTACCCTCCTTGTCATCGTCGTTACATGAACCACTGCCGTTTTTAAGTTAGTCACACCGTCGCTAAGTGAATCCGCCTTCCTCATTTACGTTGCTTGTCGTAAGTGGGGATCACATGACCCCGGGGACACAGCGACCGTCGTAAATACGAGTCCGGTTGCCAAGCTTCTGAAGGTTGATCACGGAGCTACGGGGACGCTGCGATGGTCATAAGTGTGAAAAGCAATTATGAGTCCCTTTTTCTCAGTGCCGTTTGAACTTCCAACGGCCACGAAATGAACTGTGGTAAGTCGGGGGCTACCTCTGTAAATATTGAGCAGAAAATCTGTCATGCAAAAGAATAAAACAGAACAGAACAGAAAATATGGATAGGAATAGGAATAGGAATAGCATAGCATAGGCAGAACAGAACAGAAAATGCGGAAAGGAATAAGAATAGGAATAGCATAGCATAGCATAGAAAATATGGAAAGGAATAGGAATAGCATAGCACGGAACTGAACAGAACAGAACAGAACAGAACAGAAAATACAGAAAGGAATAAGAATAGGAATAGGAATAGCACAGCACAGCACAGAACAGAACAGAACAGAACAGAAAATACAGAAAGGAATAAGAATAGCATAGCACAGCACAGAACAGAACAGAACAGAAAATACAGAAAGGAATAAGAATAGGAATAGGAATAGCACAGCACAGCACAGAACAGAACAGAACAGAACAGAAAATACAGAAAGGAATAGGAATAGCATAGCACAGCACAGAACAGAACAGAACAGAAAATACAGAAAGGAATAAGAATAGTAGGAATAGGAATAGCATAGCATAGCACAGAACAGAACAGAAAATACAAAAAGGAATAGGAATAGCATAGCACAGCACAGCACAGCACAGAACAGAACAGAACAGAAAATACAGAAAGGAATAGGAATAGCATAGCACAGAACAGAACAGAAAATACAAAAAGGAATAGGAATAGCATAGCACAGCACAGCACAGCACAGAACAGAACAGAACAGAAAATACAGAAAGGAATAGGAATAGCATAGCACAGAACAGAACAGAAAATACGGAAAGGAAAAAGAATAGGAATAGCATAGCATAGCATAGAAAATACGGAAAGGAATAGGAATAGCATAACGCAGCACAGCACAGAACAGAACAGAAC